GTAGTTGTCCCGCCACGGGTTAGGAAGCGAGTAACTTTCACTTTCCAGGAAACGTACAATAGACGCAAAAAGTAATTATTTATTCGCTGTTTCATTCGTCATACAAATAAGCAGAAATATTATTAATAAACAGCCGAAAGATGTGACGTAGTTGAAGACGTGATACATATGGTTATGGAATGTGCTTGGAACGAAACAGAGGGAGCTGAATTAGTTATTAAGTACGGCATTCTACTACACACTATTGGGGAATGTAATATTATCTTGGCTTTTCCCATTTCGAAAGAAGCCAAATTGTTATGCAAAATAGGGGTGATGACGGGGTACAGTAAATGAAATTCTATTTAGTCCGTCAGTTAGATGATCAAAAAATAATGGACACGTATTTTTTCTTTGGGCAATCAACCAAAAAATGAAAAAGTTATAGCGCGTCAAAGTTTGGGAGTAGGGGCTCGTGACGACAATTTTTAGTGAATATTCGCTTAAAAGTGTACCCAAACGTGACGTCATGCGACTTTTCAAATCAATATATCTCTGCAATGTTTATATTATGTAAAAAAAGAAGAAATACGTGTCCAATACTTTTTGATAATCTATCTGATAAACGAAGAAAAAGAAATAGTCATCATCTCTATTGACAAATGTTAAAAAAATGGTATTAATCACCGTAGGTTATCAAAATTATGTAACTTGTCGACGGTGGCATAATCAAAATGATTAAATCCTCTACATTCAATAAAGAAAAAAACCGAAAGGGTTGACCAGCTCTGCTTGTGTTGCAGCATAAGCCACAACGCTGATTTTCAGCTGAGAGTAAACTAATTACGGTGGGTTTTGATATCAGTAATAGTGACGACATCATCACCATCATCAGCCTATTAATGCCCCATTGCTGGGGCACAGGCCTTCCCAATGGATGGAATAGGGAGATTGGGCCAAGACACACAACGCGGGCCCAGTGCGGATTGGCAGGTGCTAACGACTGCAGATGCAGCCCGTACCAACGGCTTAACATGCCTTCCGAAGCACGGAGGAACTCGAGATGGAAGATTTTTGGTCACCCATCCAATGACCGACCACTGCGAAAGTTGCTTAACTTAAACGATCGCAGCCGAACGCGCTAACCGCCTGCACCATCGAACTCCCCGATAATGACATATATTCTCAGTTTCTTTATTTGTACATATTGTTACGATAAATTGGTGATTATTAGACACTATGTATTACCGTATTACTAGTAGTAGTTATCCAAAGGGGCAACGCTGCCGGTATCTTCGGAATCTTGCCTAAAGGGACTCCTTTTAATAATATATTTTAGTTATTATACTATATTTTTGAGGATTCTTTATTTTTAAGTTAAGTGTTCTAGAATATTTTTTTCTTCTATATAATTACATAATTATTGAACTTTCTCAACAGTGGTGTACTAGCGTACCTACACTACGTACGCAATCACTTCCACTTCATTAGTATTAATTAATTTTCCACGCTAGTTCCTGGCATTTTCGTTTCGCAATTTGCACTTGGCTGATTTAATAACTTGGCTAACATATGTTTCACACCTACAGAATATGTAAATTGTCGATGTATTCATAAGCGCCAAATGTCGAATACAAAATCTTGATGAATTGTGTGAAAGATTATTAGTATGTTTTACATATTAAGGCCAACTTGCACCAAAATTCTTAATTTAAATTTAAACGCCATCATGTTTAAGCCTCATTCCATCTTTGTTAAACTTTAAACAATTCAAAAAGATGGAATTATGCTTTTGATTAGGCCTAAATTTGAATTAAGAATTGGGCCGTAATAAAGGAAGTAGGAAATGCAAAGTATAGGCAATTGTTTCAGTACTACTTTTGTAAAGTATAAGACTGTCACTTTTTATTTTATATAGAGCAGAAAAGTATAAATGGAGTCCAGTTTATAAGATAGTTGCACAAATTACAGGTCTTTTTTTGAAGTTATACTTCTTTAGCCGCGTTATGAAAAAATAATAAGAGTGAAATTTTAAGATGCGCGCGCAACACTGTAACAGAAAAGTAACACCATGAAGTCGGCCGCTAAACCGCACATTACTCGCAAGTCTCGAAAAAAAGCTTCCAACAAAATAGTAATAGGATCTCTTAGTCGCACATGTTGGGACGCTCGTCGCCTCTGATCACTGTTTTCATATTTATAATATTTATCCACATGTTTCTAGTTTCTATATTCTTAACACGTGTTATAATGTTATACAAATGCGAAATTTATATGTGCTAATAAATTTTATTCAGTAGTGATTTAAATTGTATATATTGATTATTTATTAAATTTTTCAAATTAAAACTGAACTTTATTGATTGCGTTGACTATCCTTTTCCAATCCTTTTATTATCTTATTGTAATTAATTATCTGCATGAAGAAGTATAACTTCTCACGCGCGTACTTAAGTACACGCACCCATATTTTTTTTATCTTCATTAAACTGCTGCTTAAAGGCTACTAAATCTGAAGTCATTAATCAAACTTCAACACTGTTCCAATGAATTTATATTTTAAGCGCGGCGCTTCTCAACTTTCCTCATAATTCACAATCATCATATTCCATCAAACAAATCTAGCATCATTAATTTATGAAGTCGAAATACATTGGCTGAAGACGAGCAGCCCTTTAGCGATGCGGAAATAGATCCTTTTACTCATCAAAATGACGTAATTTCCGAGTAGAATTCATTTCCGTCGTCGGCCGCTTCGCTCGATTTGAATTTTGCAACTGTCAAAATGCTGGTACAGTGACTGACAAGCCGCTGTCAGACAGTGAAACAATGATTTCATTTTGAACAGTAAAACATTTTGTTAAAATTTGCATAATCGGAATGAAAATAATTTTATAATAACACCAATTAGTTAAAAGGATATACCATTCTTATCGGATAAGCTTATAATAAGCAAAATAGCATTAGTGATAGGTTAATGTAATGTGGTATAATTTTGTTGTATGAAGGTCTTCACTTAACTACACTTACATTGACTTTAAGTTCCCTTTTATAATAAAGTCTTAAACTATATTCACAATTGAAAGCTAATTACTTATGTATTTTAATTATTACGGGGTAACTTCGTGATCATGGCGCTTGCAACAGTGCCGAAATATCGAGGACTCGCTAAAAACACGGTACATGGTAGCAACTCCAAAAATATTATAGTGTTAGTGACAATGAAAGTTTTAAAGCAATATACTTTATGTATTAGTTTTTACAAAATTAAATGTTTAATTCTGAATTAATAAATATTTCTAAGACTGAGCAGTACTTGTACAACATGGATCCTGATAGAATACAATGATATTTATAACATTACTAGCTGACCCAGCGAACTTCGTACCGCCATAAAAATAGGGGCTGGTGGTAGAAGGGTGAAAATTTAGGGAAGTATGTGTTTTAATGCCACATTTAAAAAAAACTACAAAAATAAAAACAAACGTTTGGGGTGGACAACCCTTATCACTTACGGGTATGAAAAATATATATAGTAGCAGATTCTCAGACCTACTGAATATGCATATAATATTTAATAAAAAAAAATGGTTGCCTGTAAAGTCGGTTTTACGGGCGAAGATTTTACGTGACAACGTCTTTTTCTCGGTAGAATATTTATTGATATGAATATAATTAAATTGCACAATAGGAACAAGGAATTGAATGAAAATAAGAATTGCACAAATTTTAACTATAGAAATATATTTTGTTTACTAAAACATTGTACATGTAAACTTAAACTTAACACGAGAGACTCATCGTAACGTTACCGAGCGTTACACTTTTTCATAAGTGACTCCCAGCCGCAACCTAATTTAAGACGTTGTCACGTCAAAATCGGTCAAGCCCTTTCGGAGGAGTATGGTAACTAACATTATGATACGAGAATTTTATATATAAAATATTTATGATACATTACATCATTATTGTCGCACAAATATTTTTTTACGCTTTTTTTATTAAATAAAATCAAGATCGTTTGAAAAGAAGTATACAGGATCATTGCCGTTGCACCAAACTGACATAATTTTAGATACAAATAGGTACATAAGTCAAGATCCTGCCAGCTTTTACTGTATCTGAGGTTAAATCGAGTCGAGTGATCGAGTTTGCGCGCGAGCAGCGGGCGGCGGAAGTCGAGCGCATCCCGCATCCGGTGTCGCTTCCCGTGACGTCATCGGTTGAATTTGGATTTGGAAATTACTAACTTCAGTCTGCTATGTTTGCGGAGACCGAAGAATAGATTTATAACTTACTGCAATTTCATGTTTATTAAAATAACAAGATTAATGAGGGAAATTAATTCCGTGTTCTCATATTTTGTTTGATCGCTTTTTCATCATCATCAACCCATGTTCGTCCACTGCTGGACATAGGTCTCCCCTAATGCACGCCACTGCTCTCGATTTTGTGCTACTCTCACCCAGCCCACTCCAGCCAGCCTACGAATATCATCATCCCATCTTGTCTCAGGGCGTCCTACACTACGTTTACCGAGTCGCGGTCTCCACTCAAGAACTTTCCGGCTCCAACGTCCATCAGTTCTGCGGCTAATGTGACCAGCCCACTGCCACTTCAGTTTGCTAATTCGGTGGGCTATGTCGGTGACTTTGGTTCTATGTCGGATTACATCATTTCTGATGCGGTCCTTCAGGGATACTCCTAGCATAGCCCTTTCCATAGCTCTCTGAGCGACTCTAAACTGGTGGACTCGTCCAGCCGTGAGCGTCCACGTCTCGGTGCCGTATGTCATAACTGGGAGGACGCACTGGTCGAAGACTTTCGACTTGAGACATTGAGGGATGGGTGACGAGAAGACTTGACGAAGCTTACGAAATGCTGCCCAGCCTAACTGAATTCTTCTATTGGCTTCTCTCTCGAAGTTGTTTTTGCCTAATTGGAGCGTTTGTCCTAGATAGACAGACAGATCGCTTTTTATTTACTGTTAAACAATGGTTTCATATTTTGTTTCAGATTGTTTGCTGACGTTCATTCCATCGGAAGTAAGTCTTTATATCTACACTCAATATAAGTATGTTAAAATCGTACTTACCAAAATTACCATAATATACCATTAGGAATTTCCTGAAAGCTCTAGGTACTTACGAACTACACACATCAAAAGTGTCTAGGGATCAAGCATTTTTATGCGGATTTCTTGAGATTGAGATGTGGCTTTGTAATAAATTTATGATTTTATAAATTTATATGGATCCTTTTTGGTGCATTTCATAATTTGAATCAGGAACTGTGAATCAAATTCGAGTAAAAGATGAAAATCAGCTGTCAATATTTTCCCTATAAAAACATACAACGCATTGAAGACATTATTAGTGCTACTGTTTCCCTACTACTGATTAAAACCAACGTTATTATGGAGCGGCGACGTCATTTAAGCAGGGAAGAAATGCTCAGAGCCGTGGGAATGATAGAAGCTGGTTCCCGGCAACGTACTGTGGCTTTAGCTCTGAATACAAGTCAGAGTGTTATCAGTCGACTTTGGACACGATACCGAAGCACTGGTACCGTGGCTGAGCGCCATGGAGGACGGTATCGCTGCACCACACGGAGACAAGACCGATACATTCAAATCTTAACTCGAAGAGCTCCAACAATAACCGCCATGATGTTAGCCGTGAGGCTTCATCACTCTTCAGGGAACTTAATTAGCGACCAAACAGTCAGAAACCGCTTGCATGAAGTGAACCTTCATTCCCGAAGACCGCTACGGGTACCACCTATAGCAATGCACAATCGTAGGATTCGATATCAATGGGCTCTTGAACACAGAAATTGGGCAGAAGAACAATGGCGTTTCGTGTGCTTTTCTGATGAGTCTCGTTTTGGTATGAGACCGGATACAAGACGTATACGACACTGGAGAACCCCTGGACGCCAACAGCGATTAAAATCCTGCCAGGAAGTCCATCCTTATAGTGGTGGAACCATCATGGTATGGGCGGGTATTTGGATCGGCGGAAGAACTGAGTTGATTTGGATCAGAGGCAACCTCAACGCTCAAATTTATGCTGAGACGATTGTATCAGACGTCATCGTTCCTCTACAAGTGCAAATCGGTCCCTTATTTCAGTTAATGCATGATAATGCACGACCGCACACCGCAAGAGTTGTAAGACAGACTCTCGCCGCAGCTAACATCAATGTCCTGCCCTGGCCTGCTCAGTCGCCAGACTTGAACCCGATTGAGCATGCATGGGATATGCTACAGAGAAGAGCTCTGCCGAATATGGAGGGTATCCAGTCGCAAGAAGACCTTTTTTTGTTGTTGCAACGAACATGGGCGGTCATTCCACAGCGTGATTTGGATGAACTCATTTTGAGTATGCCAAACCGATGTTCTTGTGTTGTTAGTGTTCGCGGTAGAAATACGGATTATTAATTGTTTAAGTTACCCAATAAAATTTTAGAGAAAACTGTTATTTCAGTCTTTTTTTCGAACTTTTGTGTTAGTGGTTCAAATATCAAAAATCCCTTTATTAGGAAAATGGCAAATTTCTTTATTAATGCAAAGGTGACTTGGTTTATCGTTACTGTGACAAACGAAAACACTTTATTTGATGAATCCTTAAAGAAAATTTTAATTAATATCAATCAGGAGAAAAGTTATTGCAAAAATATATGTTGATCCCTAGACACTTTTGATGTGTGTAGTAAAATAATTACAATTCAATTACGAATCTCTCGTTCCAAGAATCCACTGCTAAATTTAAACCTCCATCCTGATATCTGGCATAAAAAATCCAAAGCGCAGATTAATAAAAAAAAGTCGTGACAGCGCTCCTCAAATTAAATTTGCGCTGTCACCAGATATCTTCTGCTTAAGTAAACTGACGCGTTGATCCGAGCCCCGGTGACTCTCAGTCAGCCAAATTCCCGAGGCCTTGATTGTAAAACGAGATAAGGCCCAGAATCCCTTTTTATCTGATACCGTGAAAAGTGGACATAATCGGCGAGGTCGGATAGAAAATTAAAATCCGTCAGCTCTGTAATTTCTTTGTTGTGCAAATGGTTCTTATTAAAAAGTCGCATTTGATATTCAAATTGCGGTATTATACGCGCTTCGAATACCTATTGTTCTGGCTACTAATTGTTGGTCTCCTGTTTCGGGGGATGTAGGTATTGTGATTTAATCGTTTTCACGCATAATCGAGTGAGGTTTCGTTGTTGGAATCGTGATTTGTGTTGGTTTACTGGCTCCGGGAGGGCTTTGGCTGCTTACGGCCAACAGAAAGTCGAATTTAGGGTCATTATCGCCTTTATTATTTACTAGCTGTGCCCCGCGATGTCACCTGCGGTTTATTCTCAGCTCTCTCAAAGAACTGCATTGTTATTACTGTTTTGTCATTCAATACCCTTTAATTAACTATAATGTTACTTTGTGACTTTGTGAGAGAAAATAAATAAATCATTCATTCATTCAATCAATCATTCATTCATTCATTCATTCATTCATTCATTAGGCATATTTTCCCCCAGTAAAAAGTACCTAGTCTATGTGTTAATCCAGAGTGTCAGCTAACCCTATACCATTTTTTTTAAATCGCTCCAGCCGTTCGACGCGACGAAGTAACAAAAATACACACACACACACAAGTTTCGCCTTTATATTATAAGTGTCATGATAGACACTCCTAATTTTCATATGATCCAAGGTGGGCGGTAAAAAAAAATGGTAAGTTAAAAAGGTAATACAAGTCTGTTAGATATGAATACTAATATTTGGGATAATATTTTTATCACGGTCAAGACGAACAATTAATTGATATGGCTTCAGGATACAAAACAACACAATTGTTCGTTTCCAGGGATATTTTATTTCACGGACACTAAAATTATGGAATGAGCTTCCTTCCACGGTGTCCCCTCAGTACTATAACATAGTCCTCTTGAAGAGACTTAAATAGAGTGTTGCACAAAAACAGCGGCATGGTTGTGTCACTGAAATTGCTGATGGGCGACGGTGACTGCTTGGCCATTAGGTGGCCCTTCCCGTCATCTGCCTTTGAAGTTAATAAAAATAAAGATGTGGTTTTTGGTTCTACTACACCAATGGTCAAGAGATGGCGCTGTAGTCTCCTGAATCGCGCTTTGGTTCCGTTGTTCCAGATTAATAAATACTTTTGATAGGCCTTCACAATGCAGTCGTTAGCACCCACTAAATAGAGATTCTATTTCTATTTTTTGGTGGATTTTCTTATTGTGTGGTCGCTAAAGCGACCAACTTCATGCTGTTAAAATTTTGTGTTACAGTGACGCGCGCGCATCTTAAAATTTCACTCTCATCATTTTTTCATAACGCGCCTAAAGAAGTATAACTTCAAAAAAACACTCAATAAGTACATAATTGACAACCTCCGTGGTCGAGTTGTTTGCACGCCGGGTTTCATGGTGTCGCCGACTCGAGAGGTCCCGGGTTCGAACCTCGGTGGGCGCAGATGTTTGTGTGATGAATACAAGCATTTGTACTCCAGTCATGGATTTTTAATATTTATTTCTATATAAATATACTTATATATGTACTGTATATGTATTCTATCCATTACCCTAGTATCCCATAACACAAACCTTACAGTGCTTACTTTGCGGCTAGGCTAATTGGTGTGTGTGTTGGAAATATTTAAATTTATTTTTATTTAAAATTTTACTATCTAAATGGTAAATAAGAGAAAGAATAATACATTACGGCGTTGGTTTCGATTTCATGCGTGGGTTTTAACACTTATGAATATGGACGGATCTAACTAATTCATCCACAGGGAAGGCCCGGAGTGGGAATATTAACAAGAAAATCACGATGATGGTGCCCACGTTTTTTGTAAACGAAATCAAACGAATGAAATAATAATTTCATGAAAAAGAAACACCACCTTTTGCTAACACATCATCATCATCAGCCTATTAATGCCCCACTGCTAGGGCACAGGCCTTCCCTATGGATGGAATAGGGAGATTGGGCCATGACCCATCACGCGGGCCCAGTGCGGATTGGCGGGTGCTAACGACTGCAGATGCAGCCGGGACCAACGGCTTAACGTGCCTTCCGAAGCACAGAGGAGCTCGAGATAGAAGATTTTTGGTCACCCATCCAATGACCGACCACTGCGAAAGTTGCTTAAATTCAACGATCGCAGCCGAACGCGCTAACCACTTGCGCGAACGAGCTCCTCACATATTATTCATCAATATTGATCATGCAAAAATTCAACACCCACACGACAACATCGTAATCTGCAACGAATCAAAACGCTAATTCTATTTGTTAAATTTCAATTCCATCTCAAATAGGATGAGGATAATTGAAATTCTGCCACCAATACGGCGTTAATTTGTTTTTCTTTGCACCACTTTCGCGTTCAATACGATCGATTTGTATTAAAAAGCATCTAACAGGTACAGGCTGGGCGGCCAGGGCCGTACGAAGCCGTGCACGTTTCGAATTTACGCGTTTTCACTTGATTCCAATCGAGATAAGTCTACCTGGAGTAAGGTTGTCATCCTCCCTTTATAAATAAATAAAAATAAATATTGTTTATTTCGTTAACCTTATTTTACAATAATATTCTGTGGCCAGAACTACCCAGGAAGCATGTAGTGATGCTTGTGTTGGGCGGTTCTGCTCCTCTCTAGGATCTCATACATATTAGGTATACTTTAAGGTAACTAAATAACTACTCTTTTTAACTCTAAATAATTACAAAATAACTTTTTCTTTTAAAGGTATACAGATTGAAAAAAAATATAAAAAAAATATATACAGGGTGTATAAAAACTTATAACGAAGTCAAAAGGCCACGTATTTTCCACACCATGACGATCATTTTTTTCTTCTGGACCATATGGGAAATTTATGGTTATGGAGATAATGAAGGTAAAAGTCAGCTTTTTTTTCAAGATGTATACATTAATATTTTCAAAACGTTATTTAGAAACTTTTTGTCGACGCATTTACACACACGCACACACCTACACACAGGCACATTCT